TGTGACTATTTGGCTTTCAATGTGATGGTGTGATCTGGAATTGTCATCTCGCTGTTACTTATTTTCCTTGCAGTTGGTTTTTTAGACAACAGACAACCAGACTCATAACACATGCTTGCCGGTGACAAGCAACCGGACTGCTTCCCCCGAGAAAAAAAAAAAAAAAGTTGCTGACTACACAGCCCATGTGGCTTAATGGTACACTCTTCAACTGTTGATAGACAGGCCTGAGTTTGAGTCCTGATGGAATCAGAATTTCAGATTAATAAAATACTCGGGGTTCCTGAGGCTTGTCAGTTCAATGATGATATCTCAAGGCCATCACCCTCATTACAGTTTATACCAAAAAAAAAAAAAAAAACATGAAAAAGAAAGCACGACATGGACCTTTAAGAAAAAAAAACGAAGAAAAAGAAAGAAAGAAGTTGCTTGCTAACTCAGAATTCAAAGTCGAAACTTGAAACCAACATGAGAAAGCATTAGAAACTAACTGTAGTAGAACAAGAAAGGCGTTTACTGAGAACTTTACCCCTTACCCTGATCTGTTACCATAGGTTGCAATGAACCTGATTCTCAAACGCTCACCTCATTGACAAATCATGCTCATGAACTCGGCGCACGATAACCCAGCAGACAAGGAAGAAGAAGGAAGGCCAAGAAGGAGAGAATGGTAATAATTTTGAAATGGTTTCACCCAGTTCGCAGGACAATTGCAGATCCCAGGGCTCGATCCCTAGACCAATCCCTGAACCCCTGTACAGCTACCCATTGACGCTGTGTGCCTTGAACCCGTGACCTGTCCCCAGACACGTGCGTTTGGGTTTCATTTAGCAGTCCTAGGGTCAGTCTTATAGGTTAGCCCTAAGTGTAGCGAAGGGTCAGTCAACGGAGCCTAGGACTTTCTAGAAGTCGCTACTTGGCTCTTCAGAGCTGTAGGAGTCAATTGTCCATAGCTGAGTCAGCTAGGAAGAGTCCAGTCCCAGTCTCAGTCCCAGTCCACCTTGTCTAGTCAGCAAGTACCAGGTGGGGCTGCACAGTCCTTGGGCCTGGGAGCGGAGGCAGGCCAGACCACTGACGAAACAGTAAAAACAAAGAGGCAGCGCCAAGCCATTCATTCATTCGCCTGCGAGCCACGCGGAAGTGCTGCTTGTGCGACTTGTGGATTCGGAGGTCTGCAGGTGGCCCGACGACGCAGAGGGCAGAGGAGGACGACGGCTTCCATAGACGCCAGCACCTAGAGGAGGAAGACGACGGCAGCCATAGCCGCCAAGTCAACAGTTAGCATCCAGTGTGTGTGTGTGTGTGTGTGTGTGTGTGTGTGTGTGTGTAGACATTCAGGGCAGATCCTAGTGTGTGCGCAAGTGTGAGTGAGCAGTGTAAGTGTGTCAGATGGTGGACACAGTGTTCGGGTGGGAATTCGGACTAGCACTCAGCGGCCATAGCCGCTAGATGAGACGAGTTGACTTCAGCTGAGTTCCTGGCCTAAGGCCTTATTTCTGAGTTTTCTGTGTGGGGGCAGTGGTCACAAGTTTGTTACTGATTCTGAGTTGACGAAGTTGTGCTGCCATCGGCACCTACATGTATGCATGTTGCATGGGAAATTGAGACAAGTCTGATTGCAATTTCATTGATAATTTAATAATCAAAAGGACTACAAACTTACAAAGCGATTCTTCTCCCACTTCTGCTGCCCAATCTTCCTCTGCTTCCCACTCATTACCACCAAGTAGTCACTCTTAGCAAGTGCCCAATGCTGTTCACGACTCGATCAATCACTCTCTTGCCAATAGCAACAAGCTTGGAAACGACAATGCCGAAGATCTTGAGCATCAATGTGATCACCAGCAATGTAGAACGTCAGCATGAAGTCACCAGATCAAGCCACATTCTC